TTTCTTTACAAGGACTGCTGCTTTCAGCCTTAACTGTTTATTTTAGAAGGTGGGACATAACATGTTGGCATTTTTATTTTCTTTTGCAATGGATTAACTTTGTTAAGTATCGTTATTTAGTGGCCGTCACATACATAGCTGAAAAGATTCAATCCTACCATATATTTAACGCGTTCAGAAGTTCCTAAAGTCTAAATTTCAGGGGGTGCAAGGTTCTAGTGAAATTTCTTTAGGGGTGCGGGGCAAAAAAAAGGTTGGGAACCACTGTTCTAGAAGAAAAAAATATATAAATACATTGATAAATACAATGATAATTGAATCTGTTCCCTTTTCCTAACAGATTATTATATACATTTTATGCCAAACATTTCAGAAGCAAACAACATAAAACTGATTCATAGCATATCCTTGAAACAGTAAAGAGTGATAAAACTCTATTTATTTCTTCTTGGGGTCTCTGTGGCCCATACATGCCATAAACAGTGCAATATAACTGAAGAAATATAGCTTGTGGGAAATCAATCTTGCTATTATTTTTATATAACTTGTATCATTCTTCAAAACAGTGACTACTAAAAAGCAAAATAAATGGGATCTATAAATAAATGTTAGTTGTGCAGTGTGTATACAGTGTGTAATGGTGTCTTTATCTTCCTCACCACCCACCCCAGTATTTATTTTGTATTTAGTAACCAATCACCCTTCTGTGTCCATTGAGTATATGTAGTCCGCTTAATTGTTTCAGAGGAAGGGATTTTCCTGGTATTTTTGAAATATTTTTTGTATTACTAAAAGTCTTAAGATTTCTCCAATGTGCCATCATTTTTATTTTGGACTATTTGAGCCTGATGGGAAAATAACTGATCATGTGAATGATTTGCAGCGATAGTTTATTTTACCTGATGAATTTATTTCGTATATGCATATGATCTCCCTTTCTGGAAATCAGGAGACTGAAAATTATTCTTACAGTCAGTTTTTAACTTTATCTGGAAGAGCCCAAAACAGCCCAAAACTCATCCTATCAAATATTCCTTCATACAAATCATTTCTTCAGACATTTGTTAAGAAAAAGAATCTAGCTTTCTCTCCAACGTGCTAGCTATCTGTGTTAAGGAGCAACATGTGAATGATGAATTAGGCCAGACTTAGTGCAGAACAGCAAGCAGTTTTGCAGTCTTTTTGCCTACCTCAAATTTTAAGGAGCTACTTAAGCCAAATTTGCAAAATGGTTACTATCTTGGGCATAGAGATAGAGAAATTCCCTAGAAGCCATCTGATGAGCTGTTCCCTACCTCTCTAGTACCTCAGGACTCTTTCTGGACAACTATATTTTGGGGGTAAGTTTGGATCATGCATTTACATTTTTTTCCAAAAAGGCCTAAAGCAGTGTTTCTCAGTCTGCCAATTTTAGGATTTGTGGACTTCAACTCCCAGAATTCTCCTTCCCTGGCATGTGTTGCAGTCCCCATATCTTAAAGTTGACAAGGTTGAGAAACACTGGCCTAAATTATCAATTTGGAACTCAAAGGATTTCTTATAAAGAAATATGATATTGGAAATTATTACAAGCAGTACACAAACAAAACAAATGGCAAATTTGACCATTACAAAAACAACCAGATGGAGTTAGACTAAAACCAAGTAGTTGTTTGGTAGGTCAAGAAGAAAAACTGCATGTAAGGCCATGGGTTCATAGTCTTTCCCTAAAATGCATAAAGAATGGTGTTAATTTATTTCTTCAATAAACATTACTTAGGATTAGTAGACTTAGAGCCAGTTTGTCAGCTCTGTTGAAATCCTATTAGGCCATCAAGAATGGATTGCATGTTTTGCTGTTGTACATAAAACTTATTTAAGTGTGCTTTTGGCAGAAGAGCAAGAAAAAAAAATTTCAATTGATTCAAAATCCACTTTACTGAAACTGGAACTAATTTCCACTGTGTTCCAGATGTCATGATAGTAAGTAATTGTGCTCTTTGAGAAGCTGAATGTCTGATGTAAAATAATATTATTTAATAATTTTTAGAACATGAAAAATAGGAAATTGTTTTTTGAGATTACACTATTAATTATTGCTATTACACTTCACTATCAAATATTTTCAATGATCTGTGAAATAAGACTTATCATCTCCTGAGTTTTTTAGCTGGATAACTAGATGCATTTGTTATGAGCTATTGGTTGCTGTCATAGGTCATGCTAGCTTTGTAGGTTGTCTGTGTGGTAAGTTTGGTTGAAATTTTGTGGGTGGTGCAATGGAGGACCATTAAATGACTCTGCCTGAAGGAGGTAGATCTTTGTTATGTAGAATAGACTGGCCCAGGCCTTAATGGCCCATTAACATAGGGGGAGGGGGAGGGAATTTCTGCCTCTCTGAGTTTCTACTTGTCCTCTAGGTGAAATATTCTGCCTTTTTAGTATATCCTAAAATATTTCATTTTTCTAGGAGAGGGGTGGGTTTTAACTTCCAATATTACTAAATTACTCAAATATCATTTTCCATGTTTGGCTGTTTATTAAAATTTCTAATGTAAGGTTAGAAATGAAAAACATGGCTTTGTGAGTCTCTCTTCAGTATGAGCTCATTTGAACACTACCCATGGCACCATTTGAAAGATATTCAGCAATAGCTACATTGTCAGCTCATTCTTTGTTTGTTTGTTTGCTATTTTCTTGCAGTAGCAGAAATGCCATATTTTTTCCTCTAAGGTGAACATATATTACCTGGGATACTGTGGGAGGAAGACTGATGGTTGTGACAGAAAGTAGTGCAAAAGTTCCTAGTTGCTGTGATGTTTTCTTATTATTTCCCAGTCCTTGGTGTTTCAAAGAAGGTGAGCACTTAAGTATAGTAACCTAAGATTGGAATACAGGAGACTACAACAGGCTGATGAAATAAAAGTATACTTTTTCTTCCACTAATAAAAGCAAATTTAGAAGACAACATTATTGTTGTTAGTATTATTACATGTATATTTCTATTTTATGTAAGGGTTAAATGTCAAAGAAATGTCAGGTTTCTCTTGAAAACATTCGATAAACTGAGTGGGGCTGAGAGATTATGACTGGCCTAAAATCATTCCATGAGCTCCAAGGACAAAGAGCTGTATCTGAGTCTCTGTGATCCCAGTCCAATACTTACCCATTGTCATTATTAATTATGAATATTCCCAACCAATGATTTTTATGCATATTTTACAGCAAAATAATCGCTGGCAATTTTCATTTAGTTTTAAAGATTATACTCTCATGCCTTTATGTGTTCTGCAATCCCATTTTCTCTTTTCTGCTTGATATTACACTGTTTTAGATTGTTAGGGGCAATAGGCTGACTCTGTAAACCGCTTAGAGACAGCTGTAAAGCACTTGAAGCAGTATAGAAGTCTAAGTGCTATTGCTATTTAAGTTAAAGAAAAATAACTATACATCATAGAAAATAGATCATACTTTGAAACAACAGTGCATCATTGTTATTTTATCTTTTTTTCATAATGCTGTTTCATTTTCCTGAAATGTTGATCCCATTGATTGTTCACTGACAAAAGCTGAAGCGATTAAGCAATACTTAATACAATATTTTCACATTATTTTAAATAATGTTACACTATTTTACCATATAATATTTAAACTGCTATGATCTTGTGGGATTTACAATCCTCTACATTATTATATTAATTGCAAAGCAGTTTTTCAAACGTGTGTGTGTGTGTGTACACACACACACACACACACACACATGTATAAAAGGTGTGGGCAATATTGAGATTTTATATTTAGTCTAGACTTTAGCTTTACATACCACCAGCTGAGTTTTAGAAAAGATAGGGAAAACATATAGTTTTTAAACTACAGATATCTCAAACATTTAAAACTTTATGGATTCTATCTTTCTCCAACCTTTTCATTATGCAGTAGTCCTAAATGACTACAATTTAGCCCAAAATTTCTGTTACTGAGACAATTGTTAAGTGACTTTTGACCTATTTCATGACCTTTCTTCCCACAGTTAAGTGAATTGTTGTAGTTGTTAAGTCAGTACAATGGTTATTAAGCAAATCTGTCTTCCCCATTAACATTGTTTGTCAAAAGGTCACAAAAGGTTATTACATGATCCCAGAACACTGGACTATCATAAATATGAGTCAGTTGCTAAGCATCTGAATTTTGATCACATAACTATGGGGATGCTGCAATGATGGTAAGTGTGAAAAACAATCATAAGTGTGATTGTAACTTTGAACAGTCACTAAATGAACTGTTGGAAGTCAAGGACTACTACCCATAGTTTCTTTAGTCTATCATTTCAACAAGCAAATATTTTTATATTTCAGAGTACAATTCATGACGATTTACATTGTTGTACAGATGTTTTAAGAATATTTTGTAATTCAGAAATGAATGAATATTAATGAATATAAGTGCCAGGCAATAAATAGATTGGAAGTGGCAGATAAGTCAATATTATACTGTAACAAAATTTACTGCACTAAATTCTCAACTCAAACTGCCTATGGGAATTTCCAAGATATGCAGATTTCTTTACATTTCTGAAAGTTATTTCACAATATAGCATTAGCTTCTCTCCAGGTGTCATGTTATAATTATTCTGTGTATTTTAATATGCAGAGCTAGTCTCACAGGAAAAAGACTTGGTTGCATGTTTAATACATATCAACCTACAGTAATTTACAGTTCCTGAATACTGTGCATATTGAAACACAACTATTATTTATTTTTCTATTTCTATCAGTGAAAACATATGCAAATGAAGCATATTCAAGGAAATGCATGCAAAATGTCTATATTGATGACTTTTTAAAAATTAATGTTGATCTGAAAATTAATACAATACACGTGTTTAAAAAAGGGATGGTTAAAAAATATGTCCGAATGTTTATTATACCACTAATGGAAAAATATCCAACAATAATTTCAAACAAGCAGCTTTAAATATTATGTGTATTGCTGCATATATAATGTGTTCCACACAATGTGGTATCACATTAGATGTTCACATTTAATTATTAGCCACATAAATGATAAAGTCCATGCATAGGACAAAGTTAAACATAACTATAACTTCCCACATGCAAAAAATGTAAAAGTTGTGCCATTGAAATTATATGGGGAAAAATAAGTTACATAACTGAGTTTATCCAATCATAAAACAAAATGCTGCGATTAACACATGGAAAATGAGGTGTATATTATATATGCATCTATATATAACATACTTAGTACCAATACCATACTTGCTAATCTGACAGATTGCAGATTTGTTTATTTATTTCTGAAATTTTAATCCTGACTTTATTATTTTATAAGTAACTCAAGGGGTGAACATACCAAATACGTCTTTGTCTTATTTTCCTACAACTCTGTCAGTTGGGCATAAAGAGAATAATTGGACCAAAGTTATCCAGCTGGATTTTATGCCTAAAACAGAACTAGAACTCACAATCTCCTAGTTTTTAGACCAGCACCTTAACTGCTATACCAAATTGGCTCTCCTCTTCTATAACCTCCAGGGTTCCCAGTAAGAATTCTGGGAGTTGCAACTCAAAATACTGGGGAAAGCTTGATTGAGCAGTTTCCTAAAAGTTAGCTACTAAATATTGCAGGTGTTAAGAAGTTCTGCTATCTCATTCTTCTGTATGATCAATTCACCACTTGCTCCTTGCAACGGACCAACATTATCACTAGGTTTGGGGAATTTTTTCCTTTATTTCTCAAAAAAAATATTTTTTGCTGTTTTTGTTATCTCTTACAAACCCCCACATAATCTGTGCTTTAGTCTGCACATGCTAAATTCCTAAAGTTTCTGGAGACCATTCTTCTTTGTCTACATGTTCCATTTCTTATTCATGTACCTATTTTCTCATCAGAATTTTAGAGAGTTCTGTATGTATCTACACAGGACTAATTAAATTGATTCCATTTTCCTTCTTGCAGAAATTATTTGATTGCCCCTTCAGCATCTCATTTGTGAAAAAATATAACCTAAAGTCAAATGAGATCAGGCAACTATTGTTTAAACAATTTGGTGATTCTGAAAGAAATACACAGCTAGGTCAGTGATATGCTTGGCTTGCTTTTCTGGCAAACCACAAGCAAGCCTGTATAGTTGGAATGAGTCATCAAGAAACCTGCCATGCTGTTTCATTTGTTCTTCGCATGTAGTTCTCCTTCCATGCAGACAAACCCATGAAATAGTATAGAAAACTGTGTTTTGGAGAATTTTAATGATTTAGGTTCAAAGTCCAACAAAAATTGCTCCAACTTACCTCCTTCTTCTGTTTTTCTAATGATATAATTTTTTGTTGCAATAGTGTATCTGTTAAGTTCTCTACAAAAACAAAATGATTCAGTTGAAAACAAATATATTTACATTGACCTAAAGTAAAATAAAAATAGATACCAGTCTAGATTTGCAGCTAAATAATGTAAACAATGTATCAGTCTGAATATTAGATAGTATTCCAATGTAAATTAGGTTTATCTTAAAGTTTCTTCCCTTGCTCTTTCTATTTCTGTCAAATGTGACAATGAAAATGTTTAATAACTTTTGATAGGGATAACATTGTTTACCCTAACTGGTTTGGGTAAAAATAATAAATATGGTATCATGGTTTGTTAGTTAAAGTGTGTGTAACTTTAACTGCAAGAATGTAATTAAGGGTGTGGTTGTAAAAGCACTATATAAGAAGCGAGGCAATTGCAGCTCGCTCTCTCTGGCTTACTGATCCCTAATTACTGGATGGATTGATGACTGCGTTCTTGCTGGAATGGGGAGAGAAAAAGGAGTGTTGATTTTTCTCAACGGAGAGAAGATAAAGATTGGACTGATTTATTGTAAGTGAACTGACATTGGCTATTCAACACGGACTTTGCAAATAGAGTATCCCCGACAAGACTTGACTGAAATTGATATATGACCTATGGACCATTTATTTTGACTATGCTATAATTCTTAAATGGAATAAACTATATTTTTGATAGCACAAGCGTATCTGTATTTTTACTGTGTGTTAACTAGAAAACGTATCTCACACATTTACCTGTCTTCCTATCTGACTTCGCTGCACGTTCTGTTTAGTTTGTTTTCCTTAACACCCGTTGGGGAATCCAGGCTTAACAACTTTGTTATGGTAGAATATGTTATATTCTGTGTTAGAATATTTTAATTTTATTTTTTCTATCATTATAGAAAATTGGAAGCTATTATTAGGTTAATATATTGAATGTTAATATGATTGGGTACTTGGAAACTGAATTGTTGAATTGGATTTACTTTCAACTAGCAACATATTTTGATTTAAAACAATGCACACACACACACATTTACAATTCTACAAAGAATTAAAGGGAAAGAACTATACATCTTTTCTGATGAAAGTATCCAATATAATTTTTTAAAATCCTAAAGCCATTTTTACAATTTACTAAAATAATATTTTACAACATGATTCACACCTATTTACCTGCTATTTATTTATCTTTATATGCTATGTGACTGTTTCTCCAGAAATGTAATTTTAATTATTTATTAAAAGGCATTTTAAGCCTAGTAGTTTTTTTATGACTTACTATGTTTTGAATGCTGTTATTTTCTATTAATTGAATTAACCATAGCTAACATACGCCTTTAGTTCACTTTAGTATCATGTACTTTCTCATTTCATTAATATTTTAGCCATCATGTAGGAGAAGTGGCAGAACTGAAGGTGGAGTCAAAAGAGGAATCGGCCTAGAATGTTAACATAACCACAAATGGACTAAATCTAATTCCTCTTGAATTCCAGTAACCCTGATCTAGCCAAAATAGTGCTAACTTTTGAGTAGATTCCTGTAGGTAAGAGCAATAAATCAGATAAATCAGTTTAAGTGGGCCTTCACATGTAGGTCTTTCACATCTGACATAAAGGCTGTTTAGTAAGTCATGTAAAATTCTAGCTAGAGGAAATTAAAATGGTTTTTTAAAAGGTTCTGTCAAGGTGTTAGTACGTAATATGAGTTATTGGAAACTCCAACACTCAAGCATTAAATGGACAACTTCTCTTATGTGTAATCTGATGTATGTTGATATTAAAGGATTCTTGTCCTTCTTATAGAATGGAAACTTGAAGATTTCATTTTGATATCTACTTGGGAACACAAGGCTATTAGCACTGGAAGCACTTACTCTTGAAAAGATATGCATAAGGTTATACTATTAGTAAGATTAGCCTCACTTTATGTATCCTATGTAGTATTGTACATAAGACATGATCCAATATATCAAACTGGTGTGCGGATGGTAGCGCATTACAAAATAGTGATCATAATAGGGGATGTTATGTAATACTTTTTCATTGTTACTTTCCTCGGTGAAAAATTCTCAGATAAATTGTCCCTTGGGCACATTTCAATTTAGCACTATATTATTGTTTAGTTTTATAATAATGAGTTATTGTGACCTATACAAACTTTATACTTCTCCTTTGTTCTACTTCCAAAGCATGGCTGTGAAATATCAAAAAATATGTTTCTGTTTTAAATCATGTGCAGCTTTAAAAATTGTCTGAAACCTAACAAAGAAGCAAATTAGATTAATAAAGTATTTTAAAAATATTACACACTATTTTTCTGGAAGCTTCACACTGTTTTTTACTACTATGCTAGGTCCGTACAAGAATCATGCGATTCTGTTATCCTCACCAAAATATGTTAGCATTTGCAATGTGTAAGATTCATTTAAATATTTCACTTGTTCTATATCATATTCCAGCCACAGCCATAGAATGAATATGGAACACTTCCGTGATGATGAATTTTACAAGAAATCAGATTCTCAGATACAGGACATTTTGCTCCATTGCATTTCATTGAATAGAAGATATTAGAGTTCAAGTACATTGCAGATATATTTATCATGTATGAATCATACTAAAAATGATGAATGTTTTTCATCTTCTCTGAATGGCTTGGTCATACTTGCTCTATGAGAATGGGCAATCTAGGTTCTCACTACTATACACTCTGGCCCACTCTTTGCTTCCTGCCCATGTCTTATGGGGCATTAGATTTTAAAGTAGTGCATGCAAATTATTTTACCATCAACTAGCATCAGAAATTATATATAGCAAGAAGAGGCGTACCTGCAGCAAGCATAAATGAACGTTCCCAAAAATATTTTAAAAACAGGAATATGTTTAGGAGCATACCTGAGGGGCAAAACAAGATTGGCAAGGTGTAGATGTCAATCTCACCTAGGTAATATTTTTGGAACAATTTGCACATGAATAACCTCATAATTGGACTAGCTCTTATTCCTATGAGAATGAATCTGCACAATAAACCATTCAGTTACAAAATTGTCACTTTCAACAGGTTTAAAATTCTTATTATAAAATACATATTAAAATAGATGGGAAATACTGATTCATTAGAAAATCCAAAAAGCAATAGCAGTGTATTTAATAGCTGTGCATTAAAAAGTTATTATTTAATAATACATTTGTGAATTCAATTTAATCCATATTTTATTTGCTTTTAGGCAAATGCATTGTTGCATTTGTTGTTGTTATATTGTTGTTATTGATCTTCCACTTCTTATTATTTAAAATAAGATTTTATGAATCCACAAAGCACACATTTCTTGGATTTAAGCCAATATAAATGTAATGAATAAGTTCATCCACAATTTGAATTACTTGTGAAATACATTAAAGTGGATTTTTTTAAAAAATTGAGTAATATCATACTGATACTACACCAGAACAAAGCAGAATCACTAATGGCATTTTTTCAAGGCATACTTTTATAAATTTTAAATAAGGAAAATGGACTTTGGAAATTTTCTCACCTAAATGAATAATATTTTTTATTTCTAAAAGGCAATAAACATTTGAAACAATTTACTTGCTGCCTGATTAAAAAAAAATCAAGGTTTTAATCCATATGCTTTTGATTACTGTCTGTGTAAAACAACAGAATATAATAAGCCATCAATACCTGGGACTTATTTGTGATATGATATACTGCAGGAATTATTAACTCAAACTTGCTTTGTACCCAAAAGCAAGACAAGTTATGGTTATTAACTGTAAATTACTTCCCTTAGCGATACCTATAGCTGCCCTACAGAAATGGAGGAAGAGGTTTACTTCAAAGCAGACAAACTGTAAAGAAGAAAAGCAGGCACCAGCTGATTACTTAAAAGACAGCCAATGACAAGCATTGATACAAGTAGGTAATTACAAACTTGGAAGTTTGTTATTTACAGGAAACCAAATATAAATACTGAAATAATTTAATAAAAATACAAAAAAGGAATCCAAGGAAAAACACTACAGGGTCAATTTCTACTAAAGACCATGTCAAAAGTGGATACAGATAAAACTTGGCCATGGTTTACAATTAGAACTGAAGCTCTGATTTTATACTGTTGCGTATATAATAATAATGTATCAACAGTAATAGCAGCAATAATAATAATGTATTAAATATTCATATATTAGTATATATTTATAAATATATTTATAATGTAACATAAAATGTTTGTATTGCCATAGACACAGCTTTAGACTGGGAACATACTTCTGAAATGCTTTTTGAGGTTTTCTTAGATTCCAAAATGACTAGTTTCTGCCCTGAACAATTTTGGCTCTTGCTTTTTTCAAAGGCCTTGAAACGCAATGAAACTTGGATTTGAATCTTTCATAAAAGGGGCTTTCCAGAATATATCAAGCATACAGCCTATGATTAATGAATAAGGATAACTTTTAATAATGCAAACTGAAATTTCCCTGTTGCCCTTCAGTTGTCTTTAGCTGGGGTGGGACTGCACAGGCAAGAAAAAAAAGAAATATTTTATCTCCTCACCATATCCATGATAAACATTTCCAATCAGAATGCTAGTTTCCCACAGGAACCAGAAAGTTTTCTGATCACTGTTAACACATACTGGATATTTGCCTTTGACAAGGAAATGGGTGAATCATATTTTATATAGCAGAAGAATGACTGTAAAACAAGAGGAAACCAAATGTCCATGTTGAGAAATTTTTATACCACAAAATACAGTATGTCCTTTATAACCCGGGAATGAACCTCAATGAAAGTTAACTAACTTTTGCAAATAAACACATTTTCTTTATTGTGAAAATTGGTGGGTTCAAAAGGAAAAGAATTCTGGAACAAACTTAAAATTTTTACTTGAGTAGAATGAAATTTTGATATTATTTCTAATCATATCAATAATAACTTTAAAGTAGCTATATAGCTATTATGAGCTTTTCCTTCTGTGGGAAGTACCTTTGCTAAACTAAGAGCTGCTGTAAAGTTATATCCCTTGGGGATACAGAT